CTCTGTCTTCGTTTTCACTTAAATGGTTTTGCAAGCTTGTGATTGAGATTTTAAATTCCTCTATATCTGTTTGACTCTACTTCATGCGATCTATTTCTTTCCTGTATTGCCCATTCAAGGAATCCATCATTTTTCTAATCTCCTCTACTTTTTTTATCAATGTTTTCTTTAGAAGCAGTTATTAATTCTTTTAGTGCCGTGTTTTTTTTTCAGATTGTGTTTCCTCCCTATGTTTCTGTAGTTGATTCTTTACTTCAAATGCTGAGTTCTGAGAATTCTTTTCTTATTTCAGAAAATTCTGTTCTGAGTCCTCTATAACTTTTTGCTGTTGCTTATTTACTATCGATGCTATTTATTCATACATTTGAGGTGAGCTAGTGTCCTCTGCACTTGTTCTGGGTGGGCATTGGGTTTCCTCCATAGGTTTCTGCATTTGATTCTTTAGTGCAGATGCTATTAATTCTGGGATTTCTTTTTTCATTTCCAATCTGAGTTCCTCTATACCTTTCTGCAGCTGTTTCTTTATTTCAAAAGCCGTTGATTCATTGATTTCATCTGTGTGATTCTCAATTTGTCCTGTGTTTGTGTCCTTTGCAGTTATTATGGGTGGGTTTGGTGTCTGAGATTGTATTTTGTTCCTTCTCATTGGCATTTTGTGCAGCAATGTCTTCTGACCTTTGCTGTAGTGCTTTGATGCAGTTATAACCTTAGCACCTACTGAAGTTCAGGTGCAGATCTGCAAAGTTTGGATTTATCCAGCTGTGCCTGGCTTGAGTCTGGCTGCTGTGCTCAGCTCCTTCCTGTTGCTGCCCTTGGGAGTGAACCTGTTGTGCCCCTCTGGCAAGATGTTCTGCTTCTGGACTATCTGGTTGGTTTTGTCCCCTACTGTCTGTGCAGGGATTACAGCTACAGGGTTTTACCTGAGCTGAGTCTGGAGGGCACAAGGTAGAGTAGGGGGGAGAGGTAGCTCTCTCACACACTTACCAGGCCTGGGCTAGGACTAGATCTGGGGGTCCCTAGAAAGCTGTAGAAATTCTCACGCGGCGGGCGCGTTGGGGGTGTGCTGTGGAGTGTTGTGCGATGCCCAAGGAGGTGGAAGAGGGTTTCACCCATGCTGTGCCTGGGTTGGGACCAGCAGGTCCTGCTGGTGCAGGGTAGTTGGAAGCTCTCTCAAACTCTCATCTGGACTAGGACTCTGAAAATAATCTTAAATTTGTTTTTCTCAGTAGAATTTTGCACAGAGGATGAAAAGTAAAATATTTTTAACATTTTACACACTGTTCACATTATAATAAAATAATCATAATTGAAGTTGAAGATACAAATTTAATCGTAATAATAACTTAAATTTTAGAATTTAAAGTTTCCATTTTTAATGTGCTGGATATGATTCTTTGTGGTCTGCTTATGTGACTACATGATGAACTTAACTTTGTAAGTGATCAGAACA